TATTATACAGGGTCTTGCTATGTAAAACAGCCTGGCATCAAACTCTTGAGGATCTTCCTGCGTCAGCCTCCCAGAAGTGGTGGAGCTACAGGTGTGTGCCACCATGCCCAGCAGGTGCAGGCATTTCTACTGAGCACTGGCAGGGGATCCTGATGGAGCCTAGTACTCAGATCTACCTCCAGAAGCAAAAGTGGTCTTCACCATGCAGGTGAGCCCTTAATGAGTTACACACTATCACATGAGCTTTGTATCTGTTCCCTAGACAATAAGGTCAGAGCCTTGACCTCTTCCCTAATACCTGGACCCTAAGAACAGCAGAAATGCAGTTTTTACTAAAACAACAGCAAAAATACCACAATAGTTAATTGCTGATTGGTGACACAGAAGATGAAAACTATATAAGAATAAGTGGTATAAAAACTATTCATAGGCTCGTGGGGCGGGGGGCAGTAGAAAGCTGCCGAGCAACTTTGTCCAGAGTTTCCTGCTGAGAATTCTGCTCACAAATTCGGACTCTTTCAACATCTTAAGGAATAAATTAACCTTGAAAAGTAAAAACGATGCCGCTGCAGCCTATGATCCTAGTTCCCCGGTGGGCTGAGGCAGGAGGATCACCAAATTGAAAACTAGCCCACGGAATTTGGGGTGACGCTCCCCACAAGAGGAAAATAAACGGAAGCCTGGTGGCATGTGCCTGTACTCGCAGCACTTGTGAGGGCAGAGGCAGGTAGATTGCCAGTTCATTGAGCTTGTGCAATTTAGCCGCTTACTTGCATGTATGTATGTATGTATGTATGCATGCATGTATTTAAGTATGTATGTATGTATGTATGTATGTGGCTGGCTCACCCCACCCTGGGGGTGGCGCTGGCACGGCACATAGTACCAGGGATCAAACTGTGGTCCCTGTGCTTGCCTAAGCAGGTGCTTTGGACCACTGTGCTATCTCGCTAGCCCCCTGTATTAAATTTTTAAAACTGTGGTACTGGGATCAAACCCAGGAGCACTCTACCATTAAGCTACACCCCAAACCCTTATTTATTTATTTGGTACAGGGTCTCACCAAGCAGCGTGGACTCTTCCTGCCTCAGGCTCTTCAGCACTGGGATTACAGGCCACTATACTTGGTTTCAGGGCCCACACAGCATATGGTACTGGGTATCAAGCCTGGATCCTAAGCTTGCCAGGCAGGTGCTTAGACCACTGAGCTTCGACCATTCCTTGAGACAAGGTCTCACTAAGTTGCAGAGTTGCTCAGGCTAACTTCAAACTTTAAATCCTCTTGCCTCAGCCTCCTGAGTAAGTGAGATTATAGTCAAATATCACCTTGCCCAGCTTAAAAAAAAAAAAAAAATTAGAATATAGATTTAAAGAAACCTTGGGCTGGTAAGACAGCTCAGTGGCATAAACATCTGATCAGCACGTGCAAGGTCCTGAGTCTGATCCCTGG